TTTCTAATATGAATGCCTTTTATTTTATTTTATTTTTCTGCTTAATTGTCCTGGCTGGAACTTTCTTTTCTTTTTTTTTTTTTGAGACGGAGTTTTGCTCTTGTTGCCCAGGCCGTGGACTGGAGTGCAATGGCATGATCTCGGCTCACTGCAACCTCCGCCTCCTGGGTTCAAGTGATTCTCCTGCCTCAGATTCCCGAGTAGCTGGGATTACAGGCATGCACCACTATGCTCGGCTAATTTTTGTGTTTTTAGTAGATACAGAGTTTCATGATGTTAGTCAGGCTGGTCTTGAACTCCTGAGCTCAGGTGATCCACTGCCTTGGCCTCTCAAAGTGCTGGGATTACAGGCATGAACCACTGTGCCCGGCCTGGAACTTTCAATATAATGTAGATTATAAGTGACAAGAGTAGATATACTTGTGCAGTTCCTGATCTTAGGGGGAAACCTTTGTCTTTCCCCATTTCATAGGTTGTTAGCTGTGGGTTTTTCATAGATGCCTTCAGCAAGTAAAGAAAGTTTTTTTCTATTCCTAGTTTGTTGAGTGTTTTTATCATGAAAGGGTGTTGGATTTTGTCAGAAAATTTTTGTGTTTATTGAGAAGATCATGTGGTTTTTGCTTTTTATTCCATTGATATGGTGCATTATATCAGTTGATTTTTGGGTTTTACACCAACCAGGGATAAATCCTACTTGGTCATGGTATAGAATCTTTTTATGTGTTGCTGGACTTGGCTTGCTAGTATTTTGTTATGGATTTTTTGTTTTTGGTCTTTATGAGAAATATTGATTATTATATTTCTTTTCTTGTGATGCCTTTGGTTTTGGTACCAGGGAAATGTTGGCCTCAATTAATGAGTTTGAAAGTGTCAGCTGGGTGCAGTGGCTCACACCCGTAATTCCAGCACTTTGGGAGGCGAAGGTGGGTGGATCACGAGGTCAGGAATTCGAGAACAGCCTGGCCAACATGGTGAAACCCTGACTGTACTAAAAATACAAGAAAAGATTAGCTGGGCGTGGTAGTGCACACCTGTAATCCCAGATACTTCAGAGGCTGAGGCAGGAGAATTTTTTGATTCTGGGAGGCAGAGATTGCAGTGAGCTGAGATTGAGCCGCTGTACCCCAGCCTGGGTGACAGAGTGAGACTCTGTTTCAAAAAAAAGAAAGTGTTACCTCTTTTTCTGTTATTTGGAAGAGTTTGTGCAGGATTGGTCCTTTAATCATTTGGTAGAATTTACCAGTAAGGCATTTGGTCCTGAGCTTTTCTTTGTGGGAAACTTTATTTTTAAAAATTTTTTGAGATGGAGTCTCACTTTGTTGCCCAGCAGGCGGGAGTTCAGTGGTGTGATCTCGTCTTACTGCAACCTCCGCCTCCCAAGTTCATGCGATTTTCCTGCCTCAGCCTCCTGAGTAGCTGGGATTACAGGTGCCCACCACCACACCTGGCTGATTTTTGTATTTTTAGTAGAGACAGGGTTTCATCATGTTGGCCAGGCTGGTCTTGAACTCCTGACCTCAGGTGATCCGCCCTCCTTGGCCTCCTGAAGTGTTAGGATTACAGGCGTGAGCCACAGTCCCTGGCCTGGGAAACTTTTTAATTTTAAAATTTACTCTTATTTTCAAAATTTTAGATTCAGGGGTGTATATGAGGATTTGTTACAAGGGCACCATGTGTGATGCTGAAGCTTTGGGCTTCTATTGATCCTGTCACCCAGATAGTGAACATAATACCCAATAGGATGTTTTTCATCGCTTGCCCCCTCTCTGCTTCCTGCCTTCCGAAGTCTCCAGTATCTGTTGTTCCCATCTTTATGTTCGTGTGTACCCAATGCTTAGCTCCCGCTTATAAGTGAGAACATATGTTATTTGGGTTTGTTTCTGTATTAATTTGCTTAGGATAATGGTCGCCAGCTGCATCTATATTGCTATAAAGTACATGATTTCATTCTTTTTTTTTTTTTTTTTTGAAAC